AGAATCCCCAGCTTTTTGTGTAAACTGTGAAGCAGCTCACACAGCAAACTACAAAGGTTGTTCTGCCTATAAGAATTTATTACAAACTAAATCTAAAAATGATTTCAACAACAAAAACGGGTCGAAACAATCACACAATTCTCCTATAAACATCAAAACTGCTGCCACTCCTCAACAATTTGGTAGACTAACAAACACGGAGCACATGTCATACTCTCAAGCCATAAAATCCAATAGAAGCGAAAACTCAAATATACAAAATAGTAACTATGCAAATAATGAATTTTCTCAATTCTTCACTGAATTTAAAAATATGTTTCAACAACTTATGCAACATAATACTATGATTATTAATATGTTATCTACCCTCATCAACATCAACAAAATTAATTAGCTGTATGGTTAAATTTTTAAGAATAGGACTATGGAACTCCAACGGGCTTATGCAGCATAAACACGAAATAGTATTATACCTCAATGAAAACAAAACAGACGTTTTTCTGGTAAGTGAAACTCATTTCACTAATTATTCAAACTTATTCATTCCTAATTATCGTGTATATCATACTACTCATCCAGATGGCACAGCTCACGGGGGTACAGCTGTATTAATAAAATCTAATATATCTCACTATGAACTTGAAAAATATAATAAGATTACTTACAAGCAACATCCATCAAAGTACAAATGTCATCTTTTGCAATAACAATTTCTGCCGTATATTGTCCTCCATGTCATACAATCAGTAATATACAATTTTCTGAATTCTTTGAATCTCTTGGAAATAAGTTTATAGTTGGTGGAGATTTTAACAGTAAGCACACATTTTGGGGATCAAGACTGATTAATCCAACAGGAAGGAAACTGTATGATGTTATTGTCCAACAAAACTATGGTGCTCTTTCCACGGGCACTCCGACTTACTGGCCAACTGACCCAATGAAGAAGCCCGATTTATTGGATTTCTTCATAATGGAAGGCTTAAACTCAAGGTACACAGATATTCAAGGTCATTCAAGCTACGATCTCTCTTCAGATCACTCACCTATAACTGCTACTATCTGTTCTTCAATTATCAATGTTTGTAAACCTTATAGACTTCATTCGAGAAAAACAAACTGGAAACTATACCGCTGCAAAATAGAAAACAATACTGATCTCAAAATTAGTCTTAAGAACTCATCGGAAGTTGACTCTGCTATTGACAAATTTAATAAAACACTTCATGATGCTGCTTTAACTGCTACTCCAGAAACAACAGTTCAACAGGATCAACCTCTATCTTTTGAAATTGAAAATTTAATCTCAGAGAAAAGGAAAGCAAGACGCAAATGGCAGTCAACTCACTTTCCATCGGATAAGAACACATACAATAACTTAAGCAATAAACTAAAATTTAGATTGAAAGAAACTTCTAACCAAAACTTTAACAATTACGTATCAAAACTAAATAGATTTGATAACTCATTATGGAAACCAATTAAAAACAAATTAAAACCACGTATTCAAAATCCGTCTGTTAGATGGGATGACAGCAATCATCTATCTTGGGCTATGAGTGATGCAGAAAAAGCTAATTTATTTGCTCATTATTTAAGTACAGTTTTCAAACCGAACCCAGATTACTCTAACGCAGCGGGCCTTAGCTCAAATATGATTCCTTCTCACAACTCAATGAACAGCATAAAGTTTTTTTCATTAAAGATTATAATTGAAGAGATAAGTAAACTGAAAAATAATAAATTTTCAGGTTACGATTTAGTGACGGCAAAAATGTTGAAAGAACTGCCAAAGAAGGAATTCATCCTTCTAAAGTATATATTCAACTCAATAATTATATTAAATTATTGGCCAACTCTCTACAAAACATCTGTAGTAAAATTGGTCCATAAAAGCGGAAAAGATCCTAATATGGTTACCTTATATAAACCAATCAGCCTACTACCAATTGTTTCAAAAGTGCTTGAAAATCTCCTGCTTCAACACATCTTAACTAGCGCGAATATATTTCCAGAACATCAATTTGGCTTTCGGAGTCAACACTTAACAATTCAACAGTGCCACAGAATCGTAAGAGTCATCAACAATACCTTCGAGGCCAAACAATTCTGTTCTGCAGTCTTTCTAGATGTGAGCCAGGCTTTCGATAAGGTGTGGCACAAGGGACTTTTATCGAAGATTAGATCTCTACTTCCATGTGGTTATTATAATATTCTAGCATCTTATCTCGCCAATAGAAAATTCAAAGTACGGGTCAACACTGAAACCTCAATATCTCATCAGATTGAGGCAGGAGTTCCACAAGGCAGTGTTTTGGCGCCATTTTTATATATCCTATTCACTAGTGATTTTCCAACTTTAAAATCAACGACAACAGCTACATTTGCTGATGACATAGCAGTTCTTTCGACACATGCTGATGCATCTAAGGCTTCGCTAATTTTACAAAGGCATCTAAATGTTATAGAGGATTGGACAAAAAAATGGAGAATAAAAATAAATGAGAGCAAGTCTAATCATATAACATTTACACTGAACAAGACAACATGCCCAGGAGTACATTTTTATGGCCAAGCAATTCCAAGCACCGAATGCGTCAAATACTTAGGTATGCATTTAGATCGCAGGCTCACATGGAAGGACCATATTCGCGCCAAATTAAAAACTATAAAAATTAGAACCCCAGAACTATACTGGCTACTGGGACGCAAGTCAATTTTATCCATTGACAATAAACTTCTATTTTACAAGGCAGTAATAAAACCCATATGGACTTATGGCATTGAATTGTGGAGCTGTGCAAGCAAATCCAACATAGCGTTAATGCAACGTGCCCAATTAAAAATTACTGATGCTCCGTGGTTTGTTAGTAATAAAACTTTACACGACGATCTTCATATTGATTTTATAAACAGAATAATATAAATCAACAGTATAAAACATTTTCAAAAACTACAACATCATTCAAACCATATAGTCACTCAGCTTCTTGAGACATCAACTTCAAGAAGACTGAAGAAGAAGCTGCCCGAAGATAATATGGAGGAACCTTAGAACTACCACAACCTTATATGAACAGAATAATTGAATCATTCATTGAAGTGATTCTCTAAATATGATTGTAATATTGATCCGATAAATTTATATGTGTGTTTGCAAGTGCGTGTGTATGTGTGTGAGTGAATGACATAAGCCAAATAGCTCATAAAATAGTCATGTATTCTGATTGCTATTGAAAATGAAAATTAAAAAAAATATATATATAAAAATGGATCGTAAACTGTGTTGGTAAGCGCATAACTCAACAACACCTGGACCAATTTGGCCAATTCTTTTTTTAAAATGTTTGTTGATGTCCAAGGATGGTTCTTACGGCGAGAAAAAATCGAATAATCATCGGAAAACCCCTAAAAACAGCCCTTTTCTATCTAATACGAATAATCGTAGTCGGCTTCTCGATATTATTTCATTTGTTTTACTTTCGGCAGGCGACAAAAATGGTATGGCTTTAAAGGATTTGACTTCAAGTCATATTATATAAGATAAAAAAAAACATTGTCAATGTCCATTTACCGCCATTGCCGGTGTTGTTTTTCTTGCATTTTCTGTTATACTCTCCTGAGTGTGCTTTTGTTTTGTTGGCAGTGTTTTGTTTTCTACCTATGAATAAAAAGTTATTGCATGTGACACAATATTTTAATAATGCCTCCTATAAGACGAGGCAATTTAATTAGTAGAACACGAAATGCTACAAATCAACCTAATAACCGATCTAATCGTACTGCACAAGAACATGACGACCGAAATGAACATGAAATAATTAGGATATCACAAACTCGTGAAGAGCGACCACGAATTTCAACTAATAATCGCGCAAGTTTGATTCGAGCTGCTTCCAGTTACGATGTGTCAATTGACTACCAATGTGTTGTTATTGGTTCTATGAACTCGGTTTGCTCACATTGTAAAGCATTAAAATACAAAAACGAAGCCACTGGATTGTGTTGCGCAAGTGGTAAAGTAAAATTAATACCATTAAATCCACCACCAGAGCCATTGTACTCATTGGTTTCAGGAATAAGAACAGTTTCCATACACTTTTTGAAAAATATCCAACAATACAACAATTGTTTTCAAATGACTTCGTTTGGTGTTTGGTGTAACAAATGTAGTTCGGAATACTTTTATGACAACTTTCAAGGTATGTATTACAGCAGTAATAACAATACATAAATTTATTCTACACATTACTTATTTATTTTATTATATAGTGGTTTTGGTATATTTTGTATTTATTTTTTAATTTACAGATACAAGTAAAAATATGTCACAGAGCAGGTTTATTGTTACCAGTACCAGCTAGCAACTATGAATTCCTGCAAATTCATTTTATGGGCAATTCACAACAAGAAATTGATCAGCGTTGTGCATGTAACAATTTAGTAAAGAGGTCTTTTGTAGAACAATTACAAACATTTTTTTTATGAACACAAACAATTGATTATATTGTTTAAAACTGCACTTGATCTGATGCCTTGAAACACCTGCGGGTCAACATGCAAGACGTTTCGATGCACCAACTATTGATGAAGTTGTTATCGTTGTATTTGGAGAAAACTTTGATTCCCGTAATATTGTTTTACATCGTCGGAATGATTAATTACAACGTATGAAGGAAACACACCGCTCATATGATGCACTGCAATATCCCATTATATTTAGTCAAGGTGAAGATTGTTATGATTTCTCAATAAAAATAATAAATCGCATTACAGGTAATTAAAATAATAATTTAACTATGACGATTATATCTCACTCGATATTCTATGTATTTTAATTTTATATTTCAATATTAATAATACTAAATATATTTACAGGTTCTGAAATCATCAAAAAATTAAGTTCAATGAATTATTATTCATACCGCCTAATGATTCGGAAAAATGAAGACAATCACATATTGAAATGTCGGCGATTATATCACCAATATGTTGTTGAAATGTATGTTAAAATTGAAACGGAGAGATTAACATTTATCAGGTTGAATAAAACTAAACTCCGATATGAAGAGTATATACACCTTCGAGATGCGATTAATACAGATGGAAATGCACAGAATGTGGTGCGGATGACAATTCTTCCAGCAACATACATCGGAAGCCCTAGACATATGCACGAATATGCACAAGATGCCATGTCGTATGTTCGTCATTATGGTGCAGCAGATTTGTTCATTACATTTACATGCAATCCTCACTGGATAGAAATCAAGCAGGAGTTATTCCAAGGGAAATCACCCACTGATCTTCATGATATTACAGCAAGAGTCTTTAGACTAAAGTTGAAATCATTGATGGATTCCATTGTAAAACATCATGTGTTTGGTGAGACACGCTGCTGGATGTATTATGTGGAGTGGCAGAAACGAGTATTGCCACATGCACACATTTTGATTTGGTTGGTTGAAAAGATAAGGCCAAATGAAGTTGATGCAGTGATATCATCTGAAATTCTTAAAGTACAAGTAGATCCAGGATCGCATGAGGTAGTTATTAAAAACATGATACATGGTCTCTGTAGAACTCTTAATCAAAATTCACCGTGTATGATGGACGGCAAATGTTCGAAACGATATCCACGCCCTTTAATATCGGAAACAATTACTGGTAATGACGGTTATCCACTGTGTCGTCGCCGATCGACAGCAGACAATGGAAGATCAACAATTGTCAAAATAAATCAACAAGATATTGATATAGATAATTGCTGGATTGTTCCATATTCATCCATTTTATCAAAGACCTTCAAAGCACACATAAATGTTGAATCTTGCCATTCAGTGAAAGCTATTAAATACATTTGCAAATATGTAACCAAATGTAGTGATATGGCTGTCATTGGAATTGCTAGAAAATAATGCTCATTGGGATCAAACTCTCAGTGATGCAGTAATATCTTCACACGCTTATCAAATACAAACATTGTTTTCTATAATCATATCCACATGCTTTCCATCAAACCCAATTGATGGATCAAGTACAAAGATTGCATGTGTGATGATATTCTGTGTCAAATACAGAACAGGATGGGAAATTCAAATATGCAAATCAGTGAAGAAATTTACAACAAAGCATTGATTTCAATTGAAGACATGTGCTTGATGATGTCAAACAAACTATTAATTCAATCAGGCCTGGCCGCGCCCAATCGTCCAATGCATGATGCTTTTAACCAAGAGTTGCACCGAGAAAAACTGTATGATCTCAACAATTTGAAAGAATTAGTCGACACAAATTTTCCACTATTGAATGAACAACAGAAGTATGTATTTGATACTCTTATGAAAGTAACAAATGATGGAACTGGGGGGATTTACTTTTTAGATGCATCTGGTGCTATAGGAAAAACTTTTTTGATTTCATCAATATTAGCAATAATTCGCTCACAAAATGAAATTGCACTTGTACTCGCTTCCTCGGAAATCGCAGCAACTTTGCTTAAAGATGGTCGAACAGCCCATTCAGCACTAAAATCACCATTAAATATGCAAAGCAATGAAACTCCAACTTGCAATATTTCGAAGAACTCTGAAATGGCTAAGGTTTTGCATCAATGTCAATTGATAGTTTGGAATGAATGCAAGATGGCACATGAAAAATCTTTGAAGGATTTAGACAAAACCTTAAAAGATCTACGTAGCAATCAGAACCGATTTGGTGGCGCAATGATTTTATTAGCAGGAAATTTTTGTAAAATATTGCCAGTGATTCCACGATCAACGCCAGCTGATGAACGCAACGCCTGTCTAAAGTCATCCAATTTATAGAAATATTTCAAAGTACTTCATTTAAGCAAGAATATGCGTGTTGAGTTGCAAAATGACCAATCTGGAAACATATTCTCTAAACAACTCATTAACATTGGTAATGGCAATTTTCCTATTGACATGTTGACTCGATGCATTAACTTTCTTCAAAATGTTTGTCATTTACCTCAATCAAAAGAAGAACTCATTCAGAAGGTATTTCCAGATGTTGCTCAAAGTTACAGAAACCATGATTGGTTAAGCGAACGAGCTATATTGGCAGCCAAAAACATTGATGTAAATGAATTAAATTTCAAAATTCAAGAACAAATTACATGCGAATCAAAGATATATAAATCAGTAGATTCGGCAACTAACCAAGCCGATGTAGTTTTCCACTGGAATTTTTGAACTCACTGGATTTGCCAGGATTGCCAACTCGCAATCTTCAATTAAAGGTTGGATCGGTAATTATAATGTTGAGAAATATCAACCAACTGCGTCTTTGCATTGGCACACGGTTAGCAATAAAAAATTAGTAAACAACGTGATAGAGGCAACTATATTGAAAGGAAAGTATAAAGGAGAAAATGTTTCTATTCCACGCATCCCAATGATTCCGACTGAGGTGCCATTTGAATTTAAACTACAGTTTCCAGTGCGGCTTGCTTTTGCTATGATCATGAACAAGTCTCAGGGCCAATCATTAAGTGTTTGTGTCATTAATTTGGAGAACCCATGTTTCTCACATGAGCAATTGTATGTTGCCTGTTTCCGTATTGGAAAACCATCAGGTTTGTTTGTCTATGCGCCAGGTAATGGAACAAAAAACATCGTTTATCACAAAGCACTACAATAAAAATATAACTGTTTTTCTTATTGTTAATTATTATCATTATGATTTACATGATTAAAATTGCTCACTTTTAAATGCTTATAGTGTTTTATTTAATTATTTTTAATTCACACCGAATTATTACCAGGTTGACGGTATTGTACAGAATAATTTTTAAAAAAGGTAGGAACAAAACACTGCCACATTACAAATTTTTTTGACAAGACGAAGTCTGTTGGGTCACCTAGTTATTTTAATAACAATTCTACATCAGGTAGCTACTCTTTTGATGCAGCACCATAATTACTGGTCATCCGTGACTACTTAAAAGGTACGTGCAGTCCTTTCGCGGACTTCCGTCGGTATACCCATTTTGTATACCCGGACCTCAGTGTTATTGCTGACATAAAAATTAATTCTGAGCCTAGACCTTGGGTCATAAATTGAATTCACTATCAAATGGTTGATTGGAATCGCAATTCAACCTCTCCTTGTCCGTTAACTCACCAAATCGTCTTTTGATGCATAAGACTTTGTGACTGCATCTTGTCAAGTTGATGACCCTTTAATACGCTTTCCTTCGAATCACACCCGATTCGAAAATCCGATGTATGATCCAAAGGGCTACAGAAGTCGAAAAGATTATTATAATCATTGCGAAAATTCATATTCTTGCAGAACGCCATCATTTTACACAAAATGTTGTAGAAATAAAAATTAATACAGTAAATCGATGCTGAATCTTCGAAGTTTACCAGGACATCAAAGTTCAGTAAAGTCACCACACGAAGAGTATGAAGATGATGGAAGGTCGAATTACCTACCATACGGTGGATCTGCCGACAAAACTGTCATTTATTCCATTGGATGTAGAAACTAATTGACCAGTACCACAACACTGCTATAATCTGCTTTCCTACCATATATGTATAACGTGTTTCCCTGTATTTTTTAAATTGTGAGGTCTATACTGGGCAGGGAGTGTGTGAGGAATTAAGCAAGCTAGACATCGAGGAAAAACAAAAATGACTTGTTATTTTTAGATATCATAAAATTTTATAATCAACAAATTATTTATATTTTTAATTAATGGATTTTATATTTTTATATGCATAACTACTTCCACACACACACACATATATATATATATATATATATATATATATATATATATATGTATATATATATATACGGTGGATCTGCCGACAAAACTGTCATTTATTCCATTGGATGAAGAAACTAATTGACCAGTACCACAACACTGCTATAATCTGCTTTCCTACCATATATGTATAACGTGTTTCCCTGTATTTTTTAAATTGTGAGGTCTATACTGGGCAGGGAGTGTGTGAGGAATTAAGCAAGCTAGACATCGAGGAAAAACAAAAATGACTTGTTATTTTTAGATATCATAAAATTTTATAATCAACAAATTATTTATATTTTTAATTAATGGATTTTATATTTTTATATGCATAACTACTTCCACACACACACACACATATATATATATATATATATATATATATATATACATGTATATAACCGTAAAGCGATTTACCTGACTCTGAAACTCTTTCTGGTGTGATATGTTTGCCATACATTAAAGAACTTTTTTATAAATCTGGACTCCGACTTATAAACATTTTTAGTACAACGAATAGTACTATTTTCACCAAAACAAAAACCCCTCTAAGAGAGCGCAACGGTTGCAGACGCAGTTGTATCAGAAATTGTTTTAAAGTTCGGTCTACCGAAAGAAATATTGTCCGATCAGGGAACTACGTTCACCAGCAACTTATTTAAAGATGTTTGCAAATTATTAAAAATAAAAGATTAACAACTTCTCCATAGAGACATGCGAGAGGATACATAGGGATTATGTACAAAATTTAAGAACATATATTAATAAAACTCAAACCAATTGGGATAGGTGCATTAAGTATGCCGTTTTTATTCATAACACCACTATTCATGACGCAACCAACTATACGCCTTTCGAATTGCTATTTGGTAGAAAAATAGAGTTACCTTTGTCTTTAACAAAATCTAACAATTATCAATATAATTACGACACTTATGTTCATGAATTGAAATCCAGATTGCTACATGCTAACAAACTTGCTCGTGAAAATTTAATACATAGTAAGGAACAAACTAAATCACATTATGATCAAAATTTAAATCCGCAAACTATCGAAGTTGATGATTTTGTTCTTCTAAGAGACGAAACTCCATATCCGCGGAGGTGTCAAGAATTTTTACCATTATGGAAAGGTCCGTTTAAAATTTTAAATTCCGATAATATTAATAGTACAATTTTAGTTCATAATAAGCGGGTACAAGTCCATAACAATAAACTGAAAAAATTTACAGAAAATGATTAAAAGGCCCCTGATTTTCACATTCCTCATCAAACAGTCAAAAAATAAAATAAATGAAGTAATCATGTTAGTGGAGTTAGTTTATAATTAAGTGTAAATAGCAATGTGTTAAGTTTAAATTTCATAAATTATTTAATAAAATTTTTAAATCTTTGATATGTTAACCCTTATATTATTGCAAATGTTTATAATATTTTAATAAGTATTTTGTATTCTAATGTGGTAAAATTAATTTTTCTTTGTATAATACGCCGAGGACGGCTTTATTTTTGCAAGGGAGGTGTTAAGAACTATTATGTATTTATTATAATATTTTATGTTTAACACATGTTCATTAAAATATGTTTGTAATTAAATCTCGTATGTTGGTACCATTTATATAAAACTTTTATACAAACCGACAATAAGGGTCGAATCAGGTAAAAACTGATTATTAGTGAGCGGGAGTTAGTTATGTTTGAACCGCCAACAAGTACAGATTAAAAATATCAACACCCAATAATGTGAGTTACAATTTAAAATAAAATCCATCAATCTTAAAAAGTGTTTGTTTTTACATATCAAGAAGAGAACCCATAATTAATACCTCTTCAATATATATATATATATATATATATATATATATATATTATGATGCATATATATTTATACATGTATATATATATATATATATATATATATATGGTAAATGCCTTTTGTTTATAAGTTAATTTGCTTATAGCATATATATATATTAAAGAGAGTTATAACAATCTAATAATATTTTATAAAATAATTTTCTTAAATTATGCTAAGAGTTATGAAAATATAAGGGTAACTACACTACAATATAAATGTATTTTCATTTATCCACAAACAGCTATGAATAAAACACACCAGCTGCTAAAAGCCAA